TGTTTTATATTTTATTTATTTATTTGATAGGTAGAGTTATAGTTAGGGAGAGACAGAGAAAGGTCTTCCATCTGCTGGTTCACTCCACCAAATGGCCAGAGCTGAGCCAATCCAAAGCCAAGAGCCAGGAGTTTCTTCCTGGTTTCACATGTAGGTGCAGGGGTCAGGCACTTGGGCAATCTTCTGCTGCTTTCCCAGGCCATAGAAGAGAGCCGGATAGGAAGAGGAGCAGCCGGGACACAAACTGGCACCCATATGGGATGCTGGCACTCCAGGTGGAGGCTCAGTCTACTACGCCACAGCATAGGCTGTTTTATAGTTTTTACCTGTGTTTTGACATTTTCTCTTTGCCTATTTTTGCTATTCTAAATGCAGTATTCTCCTCACTATATTTTTTTAACAGGTTTCAATATCTCTTCCTAATTTCCCCAATGAAAATTCTTGTGGTCATTTTGGAATTATCCTAAGGCAGACATCTTCTAATTTTTAGACATTTTCTAACCTAGCTAATTGCTGATTATCTTGTGAAATTCTCAAAATAGCATATAACATAGTGCACTTTAATTAAAAATTGCAAACACATGCTGTGATTAGTATGTGGAGAGATAGTTAGGAACCCCTGAATACCAATGCTTAACTTAGCTAAGAGCAACACATGGCAAATGACATCTGAAATTTGCAGAAAGCTTGCATCTCGACACCAAAAACAGAAGGAAGAGAGCTGGAAAAAGTAATTTGGTCTTGATGAAATGTCAACAAAATTTTGGGGCTTATTTGTGGCATCAACATACCTGAAGAAAGTAAATATGAACTAACTCTTTAATTAAAGGGAAAGAATTTGTCAAGGTTTATTCAGTCCAATCAAGAAGGGAAGAAACAAATTTATAAAAAGGAGTAAGCCTGAAAAATGAAAGAGAAACCCTCCATTATGGGGTAGACACCTCATGGCCTGACAATCTTATGGCTCTGCTTCCTTCTGTACCTACCAAACAACCTTTGGGGAATGCAAGTACTTGGCAACACTCAAGTACCCAGCCTCTACCTCTACCACTAAAAGCAAACCAATCCACCTTGTGGTATACACAGCAGTCTGTAGTGAGCCCATGGAGAACACAGGCACCAGGTCTGAACAGCTGAGCACAAACCCAGCATTGCCAGTCCATGACAGTCATGGGGAGACCTCCTCAGGTGCTAACTTATGGCCTCTTAAAGTGAATGTGAGCCATACTGGATGACTGAGGGAGATTAAAAACCATAAAATCAAATGAATGTGGTTTTGTGTCTGCAAAGATGTTGGAAAAACCCTATATTGCTTTAGCTCAGAGATGAGGAAATAGTTGGCTTTTCTAGACCTATAAATGGATTCCTGAAAGAGAAGCTAGGTGGGCCACTGACCCTTGAGATCCCTTGGATATGCAAGATTCTCCACAACAGGGCAGGTTAGAGCCCATGACGCAAGTGATCCAAGTATTGTGCTGCCAAGAAGGAGACTTGATGCTGAGAGCAGATTTTCCAAAGTCTTTCCAGTGAATGGTGTTTGGGCTTTGTAACACTTTAAACCTTGGCAATTAGGTGGCAGCTATTCTCCTCTAGTAGAGATTTAGTAGGATCAACAGGAGCTCCACTTCAAAGTCACACTAATTTAAAATTATTCTCCAGAGTAGCCCTACCAAGTCCCGTGGCTTTTCTTCTATTCAAGGGAGGAAACACAACAGGATTAGGGAGTTTGACTGCCTGCCTAGAGCTTGACATTTTACATAGCCAAGCAAATAGGCTTGTTACACTAAAAACTCTCTCCGACTAAAATTAATTCGAGAACAAACTTGAAATCTGCTTCCAACCTACTCTTGGCTGTTCAACTTCCACTGAAAATTTCATCTTTTCATATGCCCAATATATTTTCTACTTTATTTCTTCTCAAGATTCTTAAGGTCAAAACTTTAAGAGCTTGATTACAACAAATGATGCTGAAATTATATTAAACCTATAAAACCGAAGTCTGGCTAAACCTATGGCTTTGCTAAAATAAATAAGTGGTTTTATTAGCAAATTGCACAGCACTCTTAGAAAGAGTCAAGCCTTTATTAACACTGGCTTTCATCTCTACCCCAACTGCCTTTTACTCTGCTGACTAAAAAGAATACCAAGTATACTTTTGGGCCTTTATTGGGGTTCAACAAGCATTCTCAAAGTCACTAAACAGGCTTTTTCTCTGGAGCCTGTTCATCCTCAAACTTATAGAGGTATCTGTTTTGCTCTCCTGCTACCTTCTCTTTCTTCTACATGAAGAGACATAGAGATAGCAAGCATAGATTTTTAAGATAATATCTTTCTGTTTGATATGTGGGTCCAATTTACCAAATTAAAAGGCACAGAATAATCTCAACCATTGCCCTGGCGTAATAGGTAGCTGCTGTCTGTTGGTTAGGCATCACTTCACTCTACAAATATTGCAAGACACCAAATGAAGCCATCAACAATAAATGAAAAGCCTTTTCCTTTTCCTTTATTCTTTTAAGGTGCCTGTTTCACAGGTGTGTGCAAAGTATTCTCCCCACTAAAAGCTCACTGAAAATGAAATAGAGACCTCAGAGACTAAAGGGAGAGTTCTCACTTAAAAGATTACTGTAGCCTATCCCCACCCTTGAATCACTGGGCTATGAAAGCCTTAACCTGCTATATTTGTGTCACACAATTGGCTCTCCATCAGCTTTTACTGAGCCTTACTTTGTGGAAGAAGAATTCCTAACCAATGTGTTAGGACCATTTAGTTGCTGTTCCTGGTAATTCATGAAGATTCAAAGATCACAAAAAGTCTCATGTATATTCCATCCCCTAAAAATTAGTTGGATTGTTTGTGTCCTGGGTATATATAAATGAATGATATTGCTCTCACATGTACAAACTTACACGCATACTTTTTCTTGAGAAAAGCTTTTTCCTTAAGCTTATTTAAGAAGGGCCCAATGCTTTAAATGACATTCAAAGAGAACACAGTTTCCCAAAAGAAGGAAGACACAAGTGTGATATATGGTGTAATATAGTATGTGGAACTACAGCATAAGCTGGGACACAGAAAAAGGTTAGACCAGAGACATAGACCTTTTTGGAAGCCGTCAAAAAAGGTTGAAACTTGTCCTTAGCCATGGAGAATCATACATAAGTCTAAAGTAAGGGGGATATGATCAGATTGGTATCATGAAAATCTCATTCTAACAGCTCAAAGAAGATGGACTGGAGACCTCTGAGAATAAAAGGAGGGATCGCAGTTGGAAGTCTTTTGCAATAATCCAGGTAGGAAATAAGAAAAGCCTGAAGTGAATCAGTAACAGAACAGATGAACGGGAAGCGTATAAGGACAGACAGAGTGTAAGCACTGAAATTGGTCACCAACCAGGTGGGGGAAAAGGGAAGGGCAGAGTCAAAGATGAACATCAGTTTTCCTTTTGGAATACTAGGGTAAGGGCAGTGTTGTTTAACAACACACAGAATACAATAGGAAAAACAGATTGACTTATGGGAAAAAGAATGTGCTCAATTTTGTACACATTGCACTTGAAGCAACTTTGTAAAATACAAGTGGAAATATCCACAAGATAGCTGTATAAATAATTCTGGACACCAAGAATGAAACCTGGAAAGTAACTATGGGTTGAGCACCAAGTGCAGTTACATGTCAATTTTAACCAAAGGAATGAGTAAAATCACTGAGAGAGTGTGTAGAGAGAGAATAAGATGGAAGACAAAGCCTTTTCCCCCAAATATTTGACAGGTGAGTAGTAGAGGAGGAAGGGTCAATTGAAAAGAACAGAATATTTGCCAATTGGGAGAGAAACAAGAGGTGGAACTATCCCAAAAAGAGGCCCCAATGCTGGAATAACACAGTTGACAGAGTCAAGTTCCATGAAGTGCACAAACAAAAAGGCAGACTAAGAGAATTTCTTTAGATGTAGTGATTTGAAGCCAGTCCTGAAGAGGCCCGGGAGGATCAGTTCACAAACACAGGTGAGAAATTAGGAAAGAGAGAAAAGGTTCCTTCTCCTCCAGGCTTGGCTATAAAATTAAGGAAGGCAGAGTGCAGAGAGAGGAAGCCCAAGCTAACAAACTCAGCTTGTCTCTAAAGTGGCAGCTTAGACTGTCTGCTGAGAGAGTTTAACAACAGTGAGGGACGATGGTGAGGGCAGCCATGTTACTGGGAGGAAGAGGTTGCGGGAAATTCTTTCCTCCCCCAACACCATTTCCTTGGAACCCACCTCATCCCTATCCTTAACACACACAAAATCATGTTAATTAATAAATAAGTAAAATTCTAAATTTATGTAATCTCACTTACGCAGTGCTTGTGTGGAACTAGGAACAAGAGATGCCAAGGTGTCATAATATTTGGGGAGCTATAAATATTTCCCCCACTGACACTCTCTAAGTGTATGGTCTATTCATCTTCAGGTCATGTTCCAAAATGACACTCCCTAAGAAGATCTGTCCACATTTGCAGACTAGATTAAGTCCCTCTTTCAAACATCTCCAGTACAGTACATCTTTAGCAGCTCTTACAGTAGTAATAGCTCAGTAATTAGCTATATAATGATCAAATGTGTACTTCAAATATTACTCATATAATTGCCCATAGTTTTTTAATATCTTTCTTATTTTTTCACTAAATGTTGAGCCCATAGGTCCATTAAGTTTGTCATTGCTATATTCTCTGCATCCCAAAACTGATATTTAGACATTTATTCACCCACAATGATTCAGTTCTCTTCTATACATGGGAGAGGGAGTATACATACCAAAAACTCCAGAAAGATTTGTTAAATTAATAAATGAGTGAATGAATGAAGTCATATGAATGAAAGACAAAATCTAATGAGCAAATGATGTATAATCATAATTTTTAATGATACAAACTATTTGACAAAGGGACCCCAAGTGTAGAGCACTTAATGTGAATTTAAATGGAGAAAGTTAACTGTTGATAAAAATGATGATTTGGGGCAATGCAGCCGTGCACGTGTTCGAAGTGGGAGCGCCGACCCGGCCCGGAGGTTCCCAGAGATGGAAGGCGAGATGGAGACACAGGGTGCTGGGTCCGAGGACGGCTTCACTCAAGTCACTCGCAAGGGTGGCCGGCGGGCGAAGAAACGGCAGGCTGAGCAGCTGTCCGCATCCGGGGAGGGCGGGGATGCGGGCCGCATGGACACCGAGGAGGCCCGGCCGGCCAAGAGGCCCGTCTTCCCGCCCCTGTCCGGGGACGGACTCCTGGGTGGGAAAGAAGAAACGAGGAAGATTCCAGTCCCAGCCAACAGGTACACCCCGCTGAAGGAAAACTGGATGAAGATATTCACTCCTATTGTAGAACACTTGGGCCTTCAGATTCGCTTTAACTTGAAATCAAGGAATGTGGAGATCAGGACTTGTAAAGAAACCAAGGATGTCAGTGCTCTGACCAAAGCTGCTGATTTTGTGAAAGCCTTTCTTCTTGGCTTTCAGGTGGAGGATGCACTGGCTCTCATCAGATTGGATGACCTCTTCCTAGAGTCTTTTGAAATAACTGATGTTAAGCCCCTAAAGGGAGACCACCTGTCTAGGGCAATCGGAAGAATTGCCGGCAAAGGAGGAAAAACCAAATTCACCATAGAGAATGTGACACGGACACGGATAGTTTTGGCTGATGTGAAAGTTCACATCCTTGGCTCTTTCCAAAACATCAAGATGGCGAGAACTGCCATTTGTAACCTCATCCTGGGAAATCCTCCCTCAAAGGTTTACGGCAACATTCGAGCTGTGGCTAGCAGAGCAGCAGATCGATTCTGATGCCAACTCTGTGCCTTTTCATCTTGTCTTTGGACTCTCTAAAGAAAAAGACCTGCCATTCTACAGGCTGCACAGGAAACCATGTCACGTTGAGCCCGCGTCCCTTCATTCTCAGCCAGACGCATAAATACCAAGGTTTAACCGTGTTTACCCTCAGTAGCTTTCAGGGCAACACAGATGTCAACATCTAACGCTGTTAATATGTATAATCTTTTCATTTTAAAGGACATGTAGCAGATTCATATCATACATAAATCTCTTATTTGGCAGGAACTTCTGGTTGGCTTAAATATGTATGAATGTGTTAGTTTTTATTTATAAATTTATAGCTTTTTATGAATTTATAAACATCTCTTCTGTATAAATTGTAATTAAAAGAATCATTTCAGGAAAAAAAAATGATGATTTGGGGGAAAAAGCAAAAATACCTATTGGATATTAGAGGGATATGTGGCTCATGAAAGGAAATGTGATTCCTAAAATCACTTTCACAGGTTGAATATAGGTATATACTACTATAGAAAAAAATCCTTTCTTTCTTTAAACTCAAAAAATACTTCTGTTCTCCTACAAACCATAGAAACATATATATGCTCAATTATGGTATTGCTCAGGACTAGAATTCACAGTACAATTCTGAGAAAAAAAATGTATCATGATCCCTTTGAATCACTCAGACTTAATTAAAGTCTAGAAATGAAAAATAACTCTGTGCTACTTGTCTGGGAAAGAATGATGTATACTACCCCATCATGAGATGCAGAAACGTGAAAATGGTAGAATGATAAACTCTACAGGTCCAGCAAGCGCAGATCTGTCTACCATGTAAGACACTGACTTGAGAACATTTTCCTGGCATATTTGGTCTGTTTAAACTAGATGGAGTGTAAAAAGGTCTTACCATTTTTTTTTTTATTTCATTGACCCTCTTAAGAAGACCAATGAGTTTTTGAATAACTAAACAGTGTGTCTGGAATCATACTTGAGCCTAAGAAATTTTACACTACTTAACTGGGTGGCCTTAAACAGCAGAGAATTTTTAAAAAGAAAAGCAGTACCTCTATAAATAAATCACTCTTGCAAACAGCTCTTGAAAATCAAGAATCCCTCCAATAGCAATGCCATTTGGCTTGCTGAGGTTTCCTTGGCTCTGGCTATTCTCATCCAACCCAGAGTCTCTCTGAGTTTCCATCCATATCCATATCTTTAATGTAAAGAAAAAACAAAATACTGTTGATACTTTCATCTCCTGCTCCCAGCTTCTTACAAAAGGATAATAAACAAACCAAAAACTAATTAAAGGAAAAATCAGAGCTCATATGAAGCTAATATTCACCAAGATGGCTGTACCAGCTGTCAAAAGGTCCAAATATTTCTAGACTGCCCAAATGCCCCTCTCTCTCCCCAACAGTCCCATAAGAAATAAAGGGTTAATGACTAACACCTACAGAGACATCCATTCTAAATGAGCAATGTTTGTGAGGAAGGAAGGAAGGAAGGAAGGAAGGAAGGAAGGAAGGAAGATATATAATGTCATGTCATTCCTGGAAATAGGCAAACTACATTTATTTTCTTTCCAGCACCACTTGCTGGTTTCCTTCAGGTTCTTCACATTTCTCTAGCTCTTGGGGAAATAGATCACTTTCACAGTTAAAGAAAGTAAGAAGTCAAAGTACAAATAATCCTTATTTCCATAGAGATGTATTTCAACAAAACCGGAACAAATGAAGACCATTTTAATTATAAGCTAATTTCTATTTTGATTTTCATTATGAAATTGAAGAAAATCTTCTAATGAACTTTGCCACAGAGTTGAAAATAGGCAATACAAAAAAATGGGGGGAGGGTTAGACTTTTGCCCAAGGACAGAGGCCCTGTTGTACATTTGTAGTTAATTTTCTGATGCTATGAGGTTGCCCAACAGTTCATTTTCCTTTGCTAGCCCCTGCTAGGATGTCTCCTCTGCAAACCAAGAGAATATTTCTCATGTTCTGCTAGAAGTGTCCAGAAATTCTTTTTCATGTTCCTTTTATCTGGGTGTTAACAGTTTCCAAATGAGTCAGGATACTTATCAACATTTTCTCAGAAAATAATTTCCCATGAAAACGCTGGGAATTTGAGGCTGAATGTTAATTAATGAATGAGTCCACTTCGAGCATCAGGTATCCCACTGCCCAGGAACCTCTAAGTTTCACAAGATCATCAAATGACAGCTGGCTGACAGGGGTGGTCCTCATGGAGCCAACACCGACATGGAGCTGGCTGTGCAGCCAGGGGAGTCAACTCACCCAGAGTCTGAATGATCCTGTGAGAAGACAGTCTTCTAACACGATGGATTTAGAACCGAGTTGGGAAAGATTAGGACAACGTAGAGAAGACACAGCATTCCATCAACCCCACTATAGAGCTTCCATCAGATCCCTGAGGACCGGCTCCCTTTTCCTAAGGCAGCCTGGGGTTGCCTTAGGGATTGCAGCAAAGGGTAGGAGGCTCAGTGACCCCTTGGATTGCACAGCATCAGCAACAATGCAAGGGCTAGTTCCTTCCCTTAACTACTCTGCTAGCCATGGACACCAACAAAGTCTCTCGAGAAGGAAATATGAGGCTCCTAGGTCCCTAGACTGAGAGGAACCCATCTAGTGCCTCCTAGAAATAACTGAAGATCTGTGGTCCTTCATGAGCAGGTGCAAGCAGGAACTGGGAGACTGCAGACTCATCCTGCAAGGCCCGTAAAGCTGGGATGGTGGGGTGATAGCGTTCTTCAACAAGAAGCACCGGAAATAAGTTTCAGTGAACATGTCTGTTTATTGATAACCAAGCACACCTTTGAAATGGCAGGCAGAGGGCGTGTAGCTAGTTCAGGGCAACAAGAATTATATAGGATAAAGCCAATATTGGCACTGCTATGCTTCTCCAATCAGCTTGAAGGTCATGTAGCCTACATAGCCTACCAGATGATTCTTATGGGGGCTTGGGTCACACCCACACCTGGAGCGTTACTGATTACACGGCCTTTTTTCTTTTTTTCTCCTTTCTCTATCTCTTTCCGACAGGCAGAGTGGATGGTGAGAGAGACAGAGAGAAAGGTCTTCCTTTGCTGTTAGTTCACCCTCCAATGGCCGCCGCAGCCAGCGCGCTGCGGCTGGCACACCGCGCTGATCCGAAGGCAGGAGCCAGGTGCTTCTCCTGGTCTCCCATGGGGTGAAGGCCCAAGCACTTGGGCCATCCTCCACTGCACTCCCTGGCCACAGCAGAGAGCTGGTACAAGGCCTTTCAATAAGAAGGGAGGATGGAGGAAATGTGCCTGGGGCTCCTGCACCCTGCTAGCAGTCAGGTCACATGTGGCTCTCAGTGTGCCTGAGCCCCAGACCAGGGTCTCTCCCGGGAGGCATGGTGTCCATGCCCTCTTAACCTCCTGCATGGCCTAGGCAGGCAGTCTCTGAGCAGGCACAGGATCACCCACAGAAGACAGAAATGCTGGCTTTTCCTGTGATCTCTGTGTACACAGGAGCTACCGAGGCCTGAAATGTTGTTCTGGGCTTTATTCATCCCTTCACCCCAGGTTATGAAACACTGCCATGGGGCTGCCATTGTGGCATAGTAAGTAAAGCAGCTGTCAGCATCCTATATGGGTGCTGATTCGTGTCCCAGCTGCTCCACTTCTGATCTAGCTCCCTGCTCATGTCCTGGGAAAAAAAACAGTGGCAGATGGTCCAAGTGTATGGGATGGATCCAAGTGCTACCCATGTAGAAGACCTGGAAGAAGCTCCTAGCTCCTGGCTTGAGCTTTCCCAGCCCTAGTTGTTGTGGCCATCTGGGGATTGTACCAAAGGATGGAAGGTCTCTCTTTCTCTCTTCTATCTCCCTCTTTCTCTGTAACTTTTTCAGATAAATTAATTAATTTTTTTAAAAAAGAAGTACTGTCACTATATCTAACAATGTGTGAGAACTCAGCCCCCCATACTTTTATTTTTTTTTCATTTTTTTAACTTTTATTTAATGATATAAATTTCCAAAGTAGAGCTTATGTATTACAATGGCTCCCCCCCCATAACTTCCCTCCCACCCGCAACCCTCCCCTCTCCCATTCCCTCTCCCCTACCATTCACATCAATTCATTTTCAATTCTTTTTATATACAGAAGATCAGTTTAGTATATATTAAGTAAAGATTTCAACAGTTTGCACCCACATAGAAACACAAAGTGAAATATACTGTTTGAGTACTCATCATAGCATTAAGTCTCAATGTACAGCACATTAAGGACAGAGATCCTACATGAGGAGTAAGTGCACAGTGACTCCTGTTGTTGACTTAACAAATTGACACTCTTGTTTATGCCATCCAGTAATCACCCTAGGCTCTTGTCATGAGTTTCCAAGGCATGGAAGCCTTTTGAGTTTGCTGACTCTGATCATATTTAGACAAGGTCATAGTCAAAGTGGAAGTTCTCTCCTCCCTTCAGAGAAAGGTACCTCCTTCTTTGAAGACCTGTTCTTTCCACTGGAATCTCATTCGTGGCGATTTAAGATTCATTTTTAATTGACTTTATATAGAGAAGATCAACTCTATAGTAAGTATAGACTTCAACTGTTTGCACCCATACAGACACACAAAGTATAAAGTACAGTTTGAAGACAAGTTTTACTGTTAATTCTCATAGTACAACTCATTAAGGATAGAGGTCCAACATGGGGAGCAAGTGCACAGTGACTCCTGCTGTTGATTTAACAACTGACACACTTGTTTATGATGCTGGTGATCACCTGAGGCTCTTGATGTGAGCTGCCAAAGCTATGGAAGCCTTTTGAGTCCACAAACTCAGCCCCCCATACTTTTATTTTTTTTAGTAAACATCTTAAATGAAGACACTAAGTAAGTCATTGGTCCAAATACACACTGAAGGTCTCTGGGGATGTCAGAAGGGAAACAGCAGAATTGTTCATAAAATCTCATCACATCCCCTCCCAAGGGCCTCTGCCCTTGGAGGTGTGAACCACACCCAGGAGACGACTTGACTTACTTGGATGTTGGTGTGTGCAATAACTTTCCCCCTCCATTTAGACTAAGTCTAAATTTTTTGCTATCATTGCTCCCTAAATGACCTCTTTCAAACTTTTTTCTTTATCACCTCAACAAAGTTTTAATGCCACAGATTTGCTATCTGTTCATGTACTGTGTACATAGCTGTCCTTCATACATCAAAAGAAGGGTAGGACGTTTTGCACCCAAGGAACCGATATTTGCTCCCTTGGAGGTGATATTGACATTCT